TAGGAGAGTCAACTTGATAGCTATGACTTGATGTCTTGGCCGAGGAGATGAGGCCACGTGTAAATTGATCCAAAGATCACCATCTGAGTTGTAACACTATAAATACCCTTACCATATAACACGAGAAGGCTAATGGAAATTCTGAATAAAAAATCTAAATACCGGAAGCAATATCTCTCTCTCATTAAGACAGCGACTTCTACAACACATTTCCTACTACAAATTGTTCTTTATCGATTGGTTTCTTATACAATCGTGTTACATTTATCTTGCCAGACGCCTGAACGGAAACGTCTCGTGCCTTTGAGTCACTCCCATGTTCATTTTCTGGAGTCAACTTGACCATTGATCGACATTAACGTGTTGGATCAAGTTTACGTGTGCACGAGTGGGCCCGACATCTGTTGGCAACATTTTTCGGGGTCAACAACATCAATCTACAACAGTGCTCTTCAATTCCCAAATTTGGATGAATGACCTTATACACTTTGCCAAATCCACATTGCCCAAGCTTGTTGGCTTCATCAAAAGAACCAGTTGCCTTCTCAAGTGTGGAATATTTAAAGTTCAAACAGCTATCATAAAGGGACTTCACGAGTTTCTCTGCATCATATGTTGATGCTTAACGTAATCTTTTGGTGAAGAAAGGTGCAAAGTGATGAAAAGCTAAGGTGCACTTGTGATCATGCTTATATAGGCAAAATGCATTCTACCTTTATTCTTCTTCTGTGTTGTTTTGCGCTTCCAGATATAAACTCCAACGACTGCTCTAATAACCAAAACAGCTATTGAACTAACAGTAGCCACTATAATGATTGTTATTTTCCCTAAAGAAGTCAGTTGAAAAGGCATGATTTGGCTATATTGATATAAAATTAAAGTTTTACTTCTTAAGACACAATAAAAGTTTCTAAAACTCAAAGAGGGAAGAAACACAAAGAAAAGGAATGGAAGAAGAAAGCTCAACTTCGAAATGGTAGTAATTTGTTCAAATTATAACAACGAGAATTAATAGTCCCATTCTCCTGCGCGCCGCGCGCAAGAGAAGGTTATAAGCTTTGTCTTGCATGAGATTTTCATGCAAGGCAAAGCTTTTAAATAAAGCAAGGCCTGTTGTGGTTGGCAGGCCTTGCTTTATTTAATGTGGTTGTCAGCGGTCGACAACCTTTTTTTTTTTTTTTGTCTTTTGTTATTATTATTATTATTATTATTATTATTATTATTTTGGTCTTTCAATTATTTTGTTTAGTATTTTTTATATTTTGGT